GGCTTGTTGCCTGGCAAAAGTGTCCCGTGCAGGTCTTCAATCTCTCTCTGTGGGTAATTACTGAAATGGGTACTCAGAATGATGTTCAGGATGAGGAAGAAGGCAGAACCCGTGTGTTCATCAACTTTGCGAAGCACAGCTTATGACAACTTCAAACGCTCAACACATCCATAAACATCCACAAACCAATAGCGAAAAAGAAAATAAACTCAACCTCAGCAACCTCAAATTCCTTGACACCTTCGCAACCCCCGCGGCCCGAAGGCCGCGCCCGCCTGGCCACCGCATACCGCGAGAAGCGCGGGCTGCAAAGACCCACAGAGATGCACGGGAGGACCGCTTCGTGTTCGTTTTCGTTGCCAATGGTCACCTGGAACCGCAAGACCCGCATAAGGAAGTCCCAAAGGAAGTCTCGTATTAGGGAAGTCCTTGAAGATTTCACGGACATCATCCATGTCAGGCATTTGGATTAAAAAAAACAAATCAAAAAGTCACAAGATGCCACAAGATGCCAACACTCTCAGAGCTCACACGAAGTTGGGAAGTGTCCATTCAGCCCGTTGAGGCAGTTGGTGCAGGTCCCAGTTGGGCCCGTTGAGCACAGCGACCGCGCCTCGTAGTACCCGACGCGGCGATAGGCCACGGCGTCGCCCGGGCCCTTGGCCACGGCCGTGGCGGCCAGCGCCGCGCTCAGGGGCCAACGGGCCAGCAAGCAGCGATCACGGCCCAGGTATCGAGGGTTCAAACTGCAATCAACAGTCCTCTAGCTGCATGCTGAAGGAATGGGGTGAGGGGCGAAGGCCATGTGAAGGACCAAAAAGGTGAAGAAAAGTGAAGGATATTTAAGGACTTCAAAGCCGACTTTCCATGTGACAGCCAGGTGAAGACCTTTTGGTGAAGCCAACTTGGAAGGATATCTAAGACACCAAAAGGTCGGGATTCAGAAGTGGATGGCTGGATGTTGCGGTCCTCCCGCCGCGCGTGGCGAAGGAGACGCCCTCAGGTGCACAGGCCGGTTCACCATAGAGGCTGGGCCTTAGCAACCATCACCCGTTTCAGTCATCATCGATTTTGTTTCAGAACCCGTTTCGGCCATCCCATCGCCCTTTTTTGAAAGAACACACTCATGTGGCACCTCATCATCTTTTACTGATGTTTGTTTCTTGATGTCCCTTTGAATTCTTTTTGAAAAAAACAAAAACAACACGATCTCAAACTAACCTCCGCAATAGAACGATGGATGTAGACCGACCTAAACGATGACCAAGCCGCAGGAACTCGTAGTCCTGGGAGGTCGCCCGGAGCTCGTTGAGGCGAGAGAGGTCCAGGTCGTAAAAGGCCCCTGGAGTGCCGGAGCCGTCAGTGGAGAGCCGGATGTGGAGCCAGAGATGGAGGCGGAGATGGCAACAAGAGCTCTGTATAAGGGCCGTCAGTGGACGCCGTATGAGAAACATGGAACGACACTCCGCTGAAAACACATCATGGTTACGTGGAGTTGACCAGCTGTTTGGTCTTCAGGGGCTATCCACGAAAAACACGATTCTTTCAGAGAATGTTAAGCCATGACTTCTCCAAAGATTCTTTCAAATTTCTATCAACAATCTTAATTCAATTCACATTCTTTCTGGTTAATTAACATTCTTTCAGATTCTTTCAAACCATGACTTCTGCAATTCTTTGCTCCCGACTGCACACCCCTGGGCCACCGGACGGCGCCAATCGCAGCGCAGTGAGCTCGACCGAAGCTGCGAAGACGATGAGCCAGCTCCTCACCGACTTGAAAGGCGGTCCCAAAGCTGGGGCCCCAAACCCAACAACCGATCCTCGGCTTTGGTCCGAAGTTGGGGTCAGCTGACGGAACTCCAACAAAAAGGAAGGGCTCCCTGTGGAGTTTTGGAGAGGTGGCGGTTTCCGTTCCAGAATGGCAAAAGGATGCAAAAGGAGGTGTACATGCCGATGACGTTGCCCAACATCGGAGACACCACCGCTCCGCTGCGCTCGGCACGGCGCGGCGCTGCGAGTGGCTGCACCTGGAGTTGATCCTGTCGGATGAAGCCTTGAGCTGCTCGAAAGGCTCAGCTCCTGAGGCAAGATGAGATATATGGAGAACCTCTGATCGAAAGAATATATGAACCAGTCCACCCATTGGAACAGGGAGGTCTCCCTCTTTAAATCCACAAACAATTCTTCCTCCAAAATCCAACTCGAAGCGGTCTGGCCGGTTTGCTGCGAATCACATTTGCATCGTTTCGCAGCTTTGGGAGCGGTCGGAGCGGATGGGATCGTCAAAGCTGCAACCATAAGTCTCCGTCCCTTTCGAGAGAGCATCGTTTGTATTGGCAGGATACAATCCGCTAGAAGGAGAAACAAACACATCTCTTGTTGCAATGGCCCCGACTACCTCATTTCGCTGGCCGCAAAGACGGCCACTGGGTTGTACACCCACTTCCCACTTCCCGGACAGCTCATGCAATAAGGGTGACTTGGTCTCTTCTCCCACGCAACCGATCAACACGTCTCCGTGGCACAGATCTCTTTCCAGGCCCATTGCTCCAATTCCTGTCATCGCACTTGGAGATGGTCAGCATTTGAATCTCGAAGAGGTATTGACATGAACAATCATGAACAATCAACAATGAATGACAACCCACCATTCATAGTCTGGTCTTCATCATGCAGCAATCATGAAGGAACATACTACAGATCCTAGGAAGCCGACATTTCTGAACGGAACGCACACGCACAGGCTAGGTGAAGCTCCACCTCTTCGACATCTCTTAAGAGAATTAGACTTATCTGTCATGTCTGTTAACTCGGTTTCTACGCGGATGTAAGCAGAAAGGATTAGGCTTGGAACGGATCTAGAGGAGATGACTGATATGTGGATCCCCAAAACACAAGAAATCGTAGCCAATCATTCAGCTAGCGTTGCTGCAGTCCCCAACAAACTCCAAGTTCATCATTCCATCCTCCCTTCTGCAAACGCTTGATCTCCAAAACATCGCGAGACTTCAATGATACCCATCTCTCCACATCTCTTCCACGTTTTCCAAACACATGTCACCGGTCTTCCAACGCGGGAGCGACGTGGCCTGGTCCAATCGCACCGGAGCCACCTGGAGACCTCGGACCAAGAGTGTTTCGCGGTGAATCAACACCGTCTGTGCGAGATGAAAAGTGAGGACGGCCACCGACACCGAGTCCCCCGTGCGCAGGAGACTCGCAGGGTCCAGGAAGAAGATCCAACGGCTCGGCAGGCTTCGAAGATCGGACTCGCTCTGACGGGCCTGGCAGCTGCGGAGAGGTTCTTCCGGCACGTGCGAAGTGCATGACGAATCGGGGCACCTGATGTCACGTGCATCTCGCGTGAGAAGAAGAAGAAGAAGAAGAAGAAGAAGAAGAAGAAGAAGAAGAATAATAAGAAGAAGTTACCAACGTCATGTCGAAAACATCGTATTCTCAAAACTTCAAGTCTTTGACTTTGTGACTTTGAGGTCTTTGGATGTTGAAGGGGAAATCTTTCATGTTGTGATTGGAACCCACACATTGGGTTTATCGCCATTCTTGTCAGTCCCTGGTTATGTCACGGTTCCTCCTAGCACATAGTTCACACTGCAGAAACTGCTTCGTCCCGTCGAACGCAAAAAGTTTGTGTTAAAAGCACACGTCGACAAGGGTGAAGGGGCGTAGCCACAGACTGCGGCCAGTGTCTTTTTTCCTAAGAGAACCCCAACAGTAAACGGTTTGTGTAACAAAACCCTATATACAGTGGTCCAGACTTGGAGTGTTCCAACGCGTGCTCCTTCCTGACCTCATGAAGACTCAAATCCACAAGCCTTCCCTTCCGTCTCCAGGGTGCATGGTCGGGAAGGGTGGAGGCCCATGGCACTGGCAATTGAGCTCCTTGTGAGGTACAGCTGCGTTTAGGCTGGTTGGCCATGAGTCTTCCACGAAAGCTGTAGCTGGGACATTGTGAAAAACACTCGACATGACAACTGCATGCAACTGCGAGTCAATCACATTAAAAGGTGCATAATACAATTTGCCAATATTGTCATTGAAAGAACTGCTGAGGTCTTGGTCTCCAAGGATAGAAAGACCCTACCAAAACGCACAAAATACTCTAGGTGGATCATGGTGAGGCCCTCAGAACTCTTGGCTGAGGGCTACTCTTGGGTCGAGCGCAGCCGTCAATGGTGAAGGGTCTGTTTCCATGCGTCGTGCTGACTATGTCGAGCAGTATTGTCGAAGAACATCCAGCTTGGTCAACATGGAACAGCAGCTTGAGCAGGGCCGGCGATGAAGATAACTTTGATGTGGCTTGAATCTATATACTAGAACCTAAATGAGCAGCACTGTGACAAGACCAATGAACAGGATGCTCATGAAATCCTCACGGGCAGTTTGCAACATGGTTGACTGATTTTGTTAGGTGATACTTGTTTCAGTGTGCTTTCGGCCAAATGACGATGTATAACAGGGTGAATAATGGAAAGAGACCATTGGCGGTTAAACATACATCTCGTGCGGCTGTGGTCACCTCCTTGCGTACCTTACACCGAGCTACACGTTCATAAACAAACTCTGAAGAACCAACGTCAAGGTCTCCACGGGAAAGCGAGGCATTTCCATCGAAACCTGAAAGCCACATGCTCCCGCGCGCGCTTGATGCGAGATCTTTTTTCGAGCGCCGCTGGCTGGAAGTCCGATGAAACCCTGCCCTGCAGAACCCACAAGCCTTGAAGCCGATCGAACAGGGCGGTCCGACTCTCAAGCTGTCACGTTTCATGAAACCAAACTGACTCCGAAAGCTGTGGAGCTTTGCGGTGTTATCGTTGGCACTATCGTTGCCATAGCTCGCCCTGTTTAGATCCTTGTGAGGCCCTGCTATCCAGCCGGGATGCCAGTGCCGCGCGCAGCAGGCAGCAGAATGGTGCAAGTGCGGCAACCCACGCCGGTTCTTAACAGTTCTTGAGTACCGGTCATTTACAAATGAACTTCAGAACACTTCAGTACCGGTGTGGCTGCCGAGTTCATCGGGAGCTAAGCTGGTGAGACACACAAGAAGGCCTTCAGTCCTGCGAGCTGGTGACGAAGAGCATGTCCTGCAAAGGTCCACAGAAACAGATTTCACCGACGAACGGATTTCTCGATCCTGTTTTTCGAAAGACTGCATCGCAACAGAAAAACCGCGAGGCACAACGGGGGGGAGGCACAGCAGAACCCAATTCTCCAAAGTTATGAAAGCAGTCAATGTAAGTACATCGTAGCCGTGATCTTGAGGCAATGGGATTTGTTTCCACTCTTCTAGTTTTGCGGAGGGCATTCGTAGCAAAGAGATGATCAACCCATCCTCAGATCTATGGATGCGTCGGCCGGCCATACTCGTCGTTGGCAGTTGCCCAGGCCTTTCTGACCTAAATGGCACTCCCCAAAAGTCTTTCTTTACACAGGTCCAAGATCTCCAAGTAAAGCTGAAGAAGCTGAAGAAAAAAGTGGGACATAATTCAAAAATAAATCTGAGCACCATGCTTTGCCATGTCCCTCCAGAGCTCTTCGGTTGTGCTCTCGCATAGCCGTGGCTGCAGCTTCGAAATGCGTGTCGGTGCAGGAAGCAATGATGGCATACTTTCCTCTCCTGGTGCTCACCTCAAGCTCTTCGCCTCAGTAAATTCCATCAGAAATCCAAACAGGCACAAACTTCAGCGGGTTAGAACATATAGAACCTGAAAGCCACCGGTATAGAGGAAACTAGTACTTCAAGTGGTCCAGCTTCAGGTTCTACGCTTCACTTAATTATTGGGTGTAACACGAGAACAAGAATGATTCCATGACTTGACCCATCTCTACCCACATCTGGCCTTCGTAAAAAGCAAGCGTGTAGTATAGTAGGCGATGTTACTGGCCAATTCTTTGAAGTCTAAATGACTTTCGAACCGAGACTGCCGACTTGCACCCAAAACTGTTTCCAAGCTGCCTAGATCTTCCAACCTCACACGCTTAAACGTGATGTCATCAAACTCCAGGCGTTTCTTGCCACCACTAAAGAAGGGATGCTTCTCTTCCTGAAACGCCAATCGCCTTAGCTCGAACACCAAAGTCATTTTGGGCATCACCGGTGAACCGGTCAGAAATGATGTAGGCGGCACTGGGATCTCTTGGTCTGGTCTCGCTGCAAAACACAGAGGGCCTAAGGTTCTTGCAAATCTTGCTGCAAACATGGCCATTCCAGGCATGTCATTTCGCGGTCAATGGTGGGCTGAAGGCCCACCATGACAATGCCTGGCACTGACAGTGGTGGGCATCAACGCATGCTCATAAAGAGCAACACGTGTTCTCCACGAAAGATCTCCAGTCCTGTTGCTTCTTCATCGAAGCAGCTGTCAATCATCATGTAAATGCTGTGGAGGTAGTGCGAATACCATCTCATGGTCCGGACATCAAGGCCCTGCACCGAGCGGCGGAGCGGCGGAGCGAGTGATGCAGTGTTGCCTGGCCCACTGGCAGGTTTTGTGGGGAAAAACCTTTCCAAGTGGTCAAAAACCGGGGATGGTTCATTGCCAATGACGTTCGTTTTGCGATCCAAACCAAAATCACAAAGACATCTTCCAATCATGTTTCGATGGCACGAAGTGGCACGAAGTGGCACGAAGTCCCTTGGTGGCTCATCTGCTTGGTGAAACTCTCACCGGGACTGCCTTCTTCACCCCGTCGAAGGTCGAACGTTTGGCGTTTGGGTCCTTTCATGATCGACTCAATTCACTCAAGGAAGCACGTCTCAAAGGCGTGCTGGACACCATGGAGAAGCTATGCTTTGCCATGGGCGCAGATAAATCAAAAACAGAACCGATCATCTGTGCACACTTCCTAGCAATAGGTTTGCCAATGTGGCACCAACATGTGGAGAAGAGTGTGCACAGAACATGCTTGGTTTCCCAGATACTCGATGGCACCTACGGCGTAAGCGACATATTTCTTGGGAGACTCACGGAGCCTCACTACTAAAGCCTGTGTGACACAAGCGAGTCAAACAAGTCTGCAACGCACAAGGAGCGAACTGTGTATGCTTTTGGAGCTTCTTGGGACTGCGACCTCGTGACCTTTTGTACTACTAGCACATTGGAAAGAACAAGGTGTTCTTTTGCCGCACAACGAACGAGGTCCACCCATGTTCACCCGAAACAATGCGAGGAGCTCTGTTCCAGGAGGGCACACAACTTTCGGAGGCTTCCTGAAGCGAACCTTTTCAAAGGAACCTGAAGAATGTCACATAGATGCTTTGCACCGGAAATGGAGATAGAAAAACGGCTTGCCGGAGCACCATTGAGAGGAAAACCACCTGGTTCATAATTAAGCTCTATATTTGCCAGCAGGTGACAGCCATGAACGGTTCTTGTTGGGTAGCACATAGCATGTTTCGACAAGAAAAGTATTGCTCAAGACACATGGGCAAAACCACAAACCTGGAATCATCCGGCAAGTCAACACTGAAAGGACAAGAGTTACAATAGTCTTTGCCATTCTTCCCGTACCACATGCCATCTGTTCGGTATGCATCCTTAAGATTGGTTTGAGAGAAACTGTCTAAATCGAAAGGAAGCAAACTCTCAGGCCTTTCGAGTGGGAGATGCATCTGCGGCGGGCGGTTCCTCAAGTTCAGGCTAGATGCACAGTTGCGACAAAGCTGAACGCTGAACACAACCACCCCTCACAGAAATGCACAAAAGATCAACTCTTAGCCGAGACAAAGAGTGCACTTCAAAGATGGACGCTGCTTTTCAATACAAGCTCGAGAAAAGACATGCTCCATGCAAGGCAAACTGCGGCTTGAACTCACACAACCCTGTATACACTGTGAGAAAATGCACCATGTTCCGTTGGAATTCGATAGATGGAACAACAATGAAAGTGCTCAGGTCTTGACAGCACCGGACTTCGCCTGCTGGAAGCAAATAATTGCCACAGAGCTTATAAACTTGGAACAAACACCTAAAGGAGTCATGCTTGTCAAACGTCTTGGCAAAGCCACGATAAGGTATCCTCATGGTATCCTCTTGGTTCACAAATTAACCATCAACAAAAAGTCAAAGTCAATGTTTCTCAATTGTCTTTTAACTTGAGGAAACGTATTCTTGATCCTTCTTGAGCTTTGCCCCTTTCCTGGTGCAAGGGACAAAAAAGAGCTCTCCGGCCTTGGCTGCGATGGGAGCCTCAGTCGGCAGGTCACAACAGTCACAGGTGGCCTTTCCTTGCAAAGTGCAGGTTGTGCAAACACACATGAACGCTAAATGCATCCACTCCTCCACAGCCATGCAGGAAAAATCCACCTTTGATTGAGAACAAGAAAGACTTCGACGAAACTTTCCAGCTCAGCTTCTTGCAGCTCTCTTCATTCAACACTAAGCCGCTAAGCCGCTAAGTTGTCAGGGCAGCTCTCTCCGTGCTTGGCCTTTCACTGGATCGAACAATGCTCAGGTCTCGACTGCGCTAGGCTTTGCCTCCGCCGTCTGGGAATTATTGAGAAAACGGACTTAAGGAAGTCACGAGGCCCTACTTCCCCTCACAATTTGGAGGTGTTGCAAGTGCCATTTCCAATCCTTTGCAGAGCTCGTTTGCTACATTTTTGGACAAATCTACTATAGTCGAACTGTCCAAAGCTTAAACTTCACAACCTTGCCTCAGGCACCTTGGCGGTGTATCCTCCCGTGGCTGCCTTTGATGCAAGTGTAGTTGGAAGCATCGATGTCGACAACGCAAGTGAACAGTAGTTCTGTGTGAAGTGCTGAAAGAGAATGAGACACCAGCAAGCCATTGTGCATATCTTCTCTCCCGTTGCCAATCAAAATGGGGAAATCATTTGTGCGGGATGTCAACACTCCTTGTTTAAACACATGTCACCACATTCATTTGGGGGGCCATCAGTGTTGGACAACTTTAGAAGCATCCATCGCTTTCTTGTACTTAGTAGAGGCAGGTGTCAACCAAACAAGTGTATGTATAAGCACGAGCACCCGAAGGAGACAAACGACCAAACTTCACTGGGCAACGGCAAAGCTCAGCTGAAAGTAGAAGAGCTTTGCAAGCAGCTACGAACATTCATTCACCAAGCTGTTGCGGGAACATCTTTGTTGGTGGCAAACCACCCTATGTTCGAGTGAGACAGTGCTTTGGCCCCACAGGATATGGTTGCTGCAAAATCTTGATCTCGTACATGCCAAAACATTCATGTCGTGAGAACATGTAGAAATACCTTTCAAAAGAAGAAGCTAAACATCGAAACACACGTGTCAAACAAAATACACGTGGACAATGTTCATCCTTCATGGGATCGCCTTTTCCTGGGTTTTTGCAGATTCTTGAGATTGCTCAGACCACCAAAGCTTGACCGTCAGCACTTTCTTCTGCGCCTTCGCCTCCACTTTCTTCTGTGCCTCAGCCGGCCACCAAATGCATTTCAGGAAGTCTCACGCATGAATTGTTTTGGGCTTCAGTCGGTTCAGCTTCTTGAGGCCTTGGACCAAAGCCATGTCGCCCTTTTGAAATGAAGTCATGGCAACTGTCCCAGAATGGGCTTCAATCATAGTTGGCGGCTGAACAGCACCTGTTGTGAAAAGATTGCACTGCTTTCCACAACAGCATGTTTTATTGGGATGTCGAAGCCCCATGCTGCGTGTAAGCATGAACCACAAAGGAGACGGTCCAACAACAGATGCAAAGCTAGAATAACAAGTAAACAACTGACGCGTCCCTACTTGGTAACGAGTTTCAAAGTTTTATCAAAGCATGATCCAATCCGTGCCTCAAGTCCAAAGCACCCTGTCTTGTGTGCAAAAGCATCTGGGGGAACGTCATGTTCCCAAATGTTGGGCAAAATGAGCCGTGTTGCTCACAAGGATCGGCTGTGTTGGAGATGTGACATTCATAGACACCATAGACAAGGAAGGCCAGAGATGGCTCCGTGAACAAGGTGTAACCCATGGGTAGGCCATGGTAGGCCACTGCCGGTCACGTCTGCAGTCAGTAGGTGAAGAACCGGTGCTTTTGAGAGCCAAAGCCAGCGAGATTTTGTAGATGGCGGGAAGGCCGAGGCGAAGGAAGAGACAACTTTGAGCAGCAATTTAGTCAGTTGCAATAGGCGTTGCTTGCATCAGCAACTGAAGCTGAACACGTCACCAACAAACCAGTCACAAAGGGTCTGTGTCGTGTGAACTCTCAGGAATTTGGAGCTAGAAAAAGGACCATGTAGACCAGCACCCAAAGTCAGATCCTTGCAACTTCCAACATGTCTCAAACAAGGAAGTGCTCGCACGAGGCGCTGAGTTAAAGCAACGTACAAAAGACAACAGTGTGCAACGGCTACTTCAAACAAACTGCACGAGATGCTACCACCTCATGCGCGACTGAGGCAGGACATGCCACGATACAGTACCATGACAATGGCATCCGTATTGACTGAAGCAACAGTTACTGGCATCAGCACACATAGACAAATCGGGACCTTCATTGACAACACTTATATATCACCTGTTTCATGCCGCACCACCTATTTGAATTCCGTTCTCCTGGCGAAACGATACACTCAGATGATGTGTTGATTGGATCTGGCTGGATGTAGTAGGGCGTCGTTGGTCGGTTCGGCTTCACCCGTACACGTCCGCGTTTTTATGCACAAAAATCTATGAGAAACCACAGAGTTTTGTGCATCCTTCGCGCACTTTAGATGCAGTCCAGGAACCGCAGATTCCAATAGCTTCACCACGTTGTCGTGGCCCTGTGAACGAGCGTCATCCAATGGTGTGTCTCCTGAGCAGGAAGGCGGACTTGGACACTTTCCAAATGGCATCTTCCATCGAGAAATCCATGATAGAAAACATAGCTGTACCATTTTCCCTCCAGATTTGGTTCCCTGCACCCGTGCACCGAGACATCCGACACAGCTACATAGCCATCGCCGTGACGCCGGGAGGTCCAAGGCCCCGGGCCGTCTTTGTCCTTGACGTCGAGCGAGGCGCCCGCGGCCACCAACAGCTCCGCGCTGCGCAGGTGGCCCTCGTAGGCAGCACAATGAAGGGCCGTGCGACCTGGGAGGCCCGGGAGGCGCCAAGGCCGAAGAAGCCACGGGGAGAGAGCTCCGCGGATCGGTCGCTGGCCCGGGCCATTTCGGGCCAAAGAGGGCCTACAACAAGGAGTCGAAGTTTCGTTCAGTAGCGATGCAATCAAGTTTGGTTTTCAACAAACACAAGACAAGACTTGAGAAAGATCCTACACTTAGAAAACCAGCAGAAAGTGCACCCATCGACATTTGTATACTTCTTTGAGACTTACTGAGGGAGAGCAATTCAACCTTGAAAGAAAGGTGAAGGGTACGTCTCACAAAGTCATGCCCCATGGCATGTCCCACATTGCTCTGCAAACACTTTGGATTCACGTGTATTTCGCCCCTGCAGTACATTTTCTTGTGTCCACTCTTCAAGAAAACCATCCACAAATCAAGCACTTCCGTTCCAGCCCGGGGGACCCTCCGTCCAAGGCCCCGCGCCATCATCTTTCGCGACATCGACGTCCGCCTTGGCCTCGAGGAGGAAGTGCACCACGTCGAGGTGGTCGTCAGCCGCGGCGCGCATGAGCGCCGTGACGCCTCGGCGCCGGAGCCGGGAGGAGCGGAGGCCGGGCAGGTCGGACGGGCTCGGTCCAGCGGCATCGGAGCTCCCGGCGCGGAGCTTCGAAGGACAGATGAGACACCAGTTCAGTATGAATTAACTAAAAAGACCATGTCGTGGCATCTTGCATGTTTTGCCCATGATCCACTCCGAGTCACTCCACGAAAAAACCTTCCGAAACCGACCAACCTTCCTCTGAGGCCGCGGGCCATATCTATTCTTCGCGCTGAGCGCCGCGGCGTGGTTCTGGCGCACAAAATGGCGCACCGCCGGCAGGTCGCCCTTCTCTGCCGCCTCGACGACGTCATGGCCTCGGCGGGGCGGATCGCCGCGTCTCGGACGCTGCGCGGTGCATCTCCGTGGTGCGGTGGTGCTGCTTTCTGTTTTGGGAAGAGGTCTGGGTGTTCACTTCCGGGTTGCTAGGTATTATATGTTTGGCAGAAAAGCGGAGAAATCAAAGCTGCTGGCGACATCGTGTGACGCTGCAGCTGGCAGAATCTCTACACCTTGAGGGCTGGGCGTTTGGCAGCCGCCGCTCGGTCAGCCTGGACATCTTCGAAGGAAACAGCGAGTGAAAGATGGATCAAACAAGTCGTTGTTCAGGGATCTGGCGAACCCCCCTCCGTTGCATGCTCATGGTCGAGTCAACATGAACCTGCTGAACCTGCAAACAGCGACGCATACCTGGGCACTAAATATGACTTATGACCATGATATACAACTTGGTGTGGCTTGTGGTTTGTGGCTTGTGCCTTCTCTCTGATCCAGGGATGATGCATTGAACCCCCACCCACGGTGAATCAAATGTAGAGGAACGACAAACTGTCCAAAATGACTCATGTTGCGAAGTTTGTTGAGCCATCCCGGATCAGCAAGAAGTCCAGGGTCACAGTGCAAGATACAGGTCAATACAAATTACCGAGACTCGGACTCGGGCTTCACCTTGTTGATCATTTCTTCATTCGAAACCTCATCCGAAAATCATCCGAAACCTCAGACAGATCCGTTTGAAACCCGTTTGGCTGCACCCCCCCGCGCCTCCTCAGACATGGCGGCCTCGGCGGCCTGAGTGTTACACATCAAAATAAACAATCACAAGCTCAGCCAAGGCAAGCAAGAACCATCAAAAACACATCAAGAGAAGCGCATCAAAGCATTTGAAGGTTCAACGCACGATGCAATCAACCAAATATCCAAAGATCCAATGTCCATCAGCTTTATGGATTCAACCCTTCGGTCGGGTGCCGGCCTTCTGGTGTCAGAAAGGATCGAATGGTAAAAGACTCCCAACCCGTGCTGCCACGAGCCGAAAATTGATCTGTCTGGACAGGTGTCATTTCAACATCTGTGACGCAAGAGCTTTCGGACTCTGAGCAGTGTTCAGACAGGCATTGTTAATTAGTTGTTCTCGAAGTACTTGAACTCACGAAGTTCCAAGCAACCAAAGAAAAAGAACTCGAAGGCCGCTATGCGTCCTTTCTCACGATGCCAGCGGGTGGCGAAGGTCGTCGCCGAACGTGACTCAAGGGCCCTTCGGCCGGATTTGAGAATTGAAATTCGATTGCGGTGTGACTCGAATGTCATCTATCCGCTCTCATCATGAAATGAATTGCAAAATGGAAAACAAATCTCACATGTGCATTCGCAACATTGACACGCCCAAGGAAGTTTTCAAGGGCTGTCGAAGAAAATTCAAAAAGCGGGCTAGAGTCCTCTTCAACGAAGGACATCTAAATCACTCACATGGTACCAGGCACCATGTTCTCTCTCAGCCAGGCGTCTTGGTCGAGTGCCAGCAACAAACGTCATAGGAGTCTGGCAGGTTCGATCAGCCAGTTCACCGTTGTAGATTTGCTCACGAACACGGTCATTGCGTTCCAAGGCAATGATCTGATTTCTCTGACGAACGATGCGACGATTCACGTCAGCCAAAAACACCAGGTTGTCATTCCACATTCGGTGCCACTGACATACTTGCTCATCAGAAAATTGCGAGGTGTCCTGAGCTCGAAGCAATTCACTGAACTTCCTCCAGCGCTGTGTGGTGAAGCTCTCAGACTGCAACACGCACCTTGTCTGGGAGTCCAGACTGCTATCATGGTTTTCAAGTTCCCATAGAAGGCGACGGTATGGGCCTTGTCCAGCCTCATTTTGAACTCTCACCTTCATGCGACTCCAGCGATGCCATTCTTCATCTGAAAGATCCGACTCTGTGTTCGTAGTCGTGCTTCCTGAATCTATTCCAGGACGACGGGCCAAAGTCAGTGCATTTAGAATCACCTCATCGGCCTGAACAGCTGCGGAAACGACATGGCTAGGAGGACTGAGCGGGTTCTCAGTCACTGGGGCATTCGCAGAAGCTTGGTCATTCTCAACAACCTGCTCATTTTCATTCATCTCCTCTCTGAACAGGTTCGTCACCTTGTCATTTGCAAAGCGGTAGGCCTTGTAAAAGATGGTTTCAATGCCAAAACGCAGAAACACGTTTTCAAGGCCGATCCATGCGAAGATCATGATGACCATGAAGGACATGAAGATTGGTAATCTCCATCCTTCAGCTTCAACAGTTGTCAAAGCTCCTTCAGCAAGAGGCGCTTCGCTTGCCATCAAAATGGCTGCGGAAAACAAGGCTGCCTTCTTCCATTCGTCTTGATGACTATTTGAGCTGCGATGGGCATAAAAAATGCCTTCTGCTGCAGTATTTGTTTCGAGGATCACTCTCGTTGCGGGGTTTGCAGCAACTTGGAAGTAAACAAAGACCTTGTTCATGCTTTTGCCACTCTTCTACTGCAAAAACTTGTTGTTCTTCCATTTCTTTTGAAAAAGCTTCATGGATTTCCCTTTCTTCTTTCTTGGCTTCCGAGGACACTTTCTTGGAGGCTGTGAAGTCGGGGTTGAACTTGAGTTGATGGGTGCCACGCTTCATGATGTAGGCCATGGAATCTCTGGAAGCCGGCTTTGTCAAGCCGTCAGAGATCTGTTGGTGTGAGTTCACCCACATCCATTTTCCCAACAAAGCGTTCATACGATCTCGCACAATGGCCACTTCGATCGCAGTTCTTTTCTCACTCAATTTCATGCTGGGAGACAAGGACTTGGCAGCATCAAACAAAGATTTTGCATCTGTCACAAGCGGGGATGGTCCAAGCTTTTGCAATGCTTCCGGACTTTCGATCGGCCAGGTGGGGTCGATCATGACGGAAACAAAAATCTTGCACCATTCAAGCTCATCCACTGCAATGGCGGCTGCTTGAGCCTCTGAGGACAAACTTGACCGACAAATACGTGCCAACTTGTGCGATTTCCAATAAAAGACATTGAGCGGCATCATGCTGCCGGATTCCAGCTCTTGGTGCGAACAAATGAAAACCAAAAGTCCACCTTGGCTTGATCCGTCGGGTCGTACGGCCCAGGCAGCATCGGTATATGCTCCAATGCGCAACTCCGAAAAAGCACATGAGCCACGCATGTACAGTTGGTGATCTTTTGAAACTTCTTTTGCAAAACGAAGCAGCTTGTTTGCTTGGTTCAAATCACCAACACATGGATTGCTTGCTGATGCTTGCAGAATGCTCACGCTTGCGCACAACTCAGGAATGCTTTGATGAGCAGGCCATGCCAGCGCACCAATGAGGGCACGGAACTGTCGGTGTTCACGTTCATCGCATGGAGACTCCGTCATTGTTTTCCTGGATTTGTCCAATGAAATAGGTTTCACCTTCTGTACATAGTTCGCCAGACTCACCGAAATGGTGGAGTAGTCTAACGACTGTTGCAGTTCAGCGCCACAAAAGATGATCTTTGAGCCATTTCCAAAATCCCATGCACCAAAACGAAAACGCTGAGCCAAACGCAGGATGCGGTAGAGGAAACACTCTTCATTGGGACATTCCTTTTTCAAATCATGCTCACTGCAGAAACCTTCACCAGCACCAATGAAGTCGTCCACATGGAGTCCAAAAATGCCGTCAACAATGCTAGGGACCCCATTCCATTGGAACACTTCGAAAGCTGGATCAGATTCATATGCAGCTCGGATGCTGAGGTACACACAAAGATCCAAAGGGTGTGGGATCATGCCAAGTTCCTCAGTCAAGCACCTATGAGCAGTTGCATTCCACTGTCTTGGAGCTCTGCAATCACCAAAAGCGGGCTTGGATGCACGCATGATTTGCCATGGTTTCAATCCAATCTTTCTCTCCAGGAGGCGTCGAATTCTCAGCTGAGGGCTGTATGAACACTCGGGCTTCTTGTTCGATGTTGTCTGCTTGTTGAAAAGCAGTCTTCACATCAGCACTCCACAGCTTGAGCTGGCGAACCACTGCAAAAAGATAAATGGAGCTGCGACCAACCATGGACAAAGTAGGAGCTTCCTTATCTACAGTGTCTTCGAGCACATCGCGATGTTTGAATCCCTGTATGATGATTCGGGCGTTTGCTTTCTGCCCTTCTTTTGTTGGCTTCCAGCGCTGCAAAAATCTTGCTGGTACTGCTTCGCCTGGTTGGGCTTCGGAGGCATCGACTGGTCGCCATGCTTGATTCTCAAACCAGACATCCAAAGCCTTGTTGCGAGCTTCGGCGAACTCTTCTTTCTGCTCTTTGGTGAGGTTTTTCTCACTGAATGAAGTGGCCATGAAATTTTCGCCCAGCCAGTCAACTTCCTCACCATACAGCATGTCATATTGACTTTTCAGCTGATGATCATCTCGAGAAACAGGCGGGAGGCCATCAAGTTGACGTGCCTTGTTGTAGGACTCATACAGGTTTTCAAAGTCTTTGTGCCGAGAGTCATGAGGTGGAGGGCTTCTTGATCTTCCTCGGCCACTTGGATCTTGGTCTTCTTTTGTTTCTACTTCAACTGCTTCAGCTTCTGCTGCTGCTGTCTTGTGTTCTGCTGCTGCCGCAGTGTGCTGAGGTTCTGTTGTCACTTCTTCTTCGGCTTGAGGTTCTGACATTGGAACTTCTGGACTCTCTGGTGGTACCAGAGGAGGGACAGAAGTTTCAGCCTTTGTCTCTGGTGGTACCAGAGAAAGGACAGAAGTTTCAGCCTTTGCATTCGAAAAGGTGGGATCCCCTGCAAGATCAAGAAAACGCACAGGACCCTGCACAGGGGTCAGAGCTTGTCGAACTCGATGAACCAAACTGTTCGAAACAGCTGTGTCAGGTTGCGTTTCCAGGCGATGAACTCTTTCTCGAGCCACCTCGGCACGAATATGCTCACTTGCAACACGCACCAAACTGGATCCATGAGCAACCCAGTAAACAGAAGCTCGGATGCGGCCGTCATCGTTCTTGCGGGGCTCTATGGCGCAGACCAATGCAGGGCCACGCCAGCGAGTAGGGTCAAGTTTGTTTTCCCCCTGTCTCCAGTAGTAGATCCAATCGCCAAGGCTGGCGGCCACATGTTCAGACCGTGGCCGGGCAAGAAGTGCACGTTTGAGCAGCTGGTTGTTGTTGGCTTCGTAAAATGCTTTGGCTGCTGAGTACCGAAGCGCTTGATCTTTTTGGTGCTGTTCCGTGTCATCGAGCGGTTTGGACAAGTGCGGTTCATCACAAAGACCGTTCGATTGAGGATTGTGTCCAAAAACGATTTGGTATGGTGAGCTGCCATGCACTGAACGAAGGCGGTTTCGTTGATGACAAGCAACTGGAACAGCTTCTTCAAGGAGTACATTCGGTTCATCTTTTTGCATTTTGAGCAGCTGCATTCTTCTCACAGCGTGGAGTCTTTCCACTGATCCCATTCTATAGTGAGCTTCTTTGGGCACGAGGATCAGCTTGATGTTGTTTTGGTCGAAGAAGTCCAGATACTTCTGACTCATGTGTGCTCCCGACTGGTCTGTTCTGAATCGTTCTGGAGGACCAAAAGTTTGAAGCCATTGTTCACGAAGTATCTTCAATTCAGCTTCTTCAGTTTCTCTCTCCAACACTGCATTGATTTCGTACTTGGAATAGATGTCGAGGATGGCCAAAACCTTTCGCTTTTCTCCATTCCAGCGGATGTGAAAAACATCGGCTTCCAAACATTCATTGAAGTGACTGGCCTGAGGCAGTGAAGCTGGTTTCTCCAATTTCCGTTGTGCCTGTTGCTCACATACTTCACACTTGTAGTCTTTGGCACATCGGATCAGAGACTCATCCATACCTGCATCTTTAAGCGTTTTGATCATCCGATCTACACCTGGATGTCCCAGTTGCTTGTGCAGTTTGCTGATGACCTGTAGGTTTTGCTTGCTGTGGGTCTTCATCAGCTTCTTCTCTTCCTCAGTAATGTTGGATGCATTCTTCACTTTGTTTTTCTCATCCTGTTCTTCAACCAT